TCAGGATATTCTCTTTATTTCTATTTTTCTATCTCTATTGATTATTTTTTTTACTAATTGATTATTTGACTAATTGATTAATGATGATTGAGTAATTGACAGAGTCAACTCACCGCCCTGATTTGCTGTAGAAGCCTGTGTTGTGACAGTCCTCAGAGTAAATATCATTTATAGAGAATGACTCTGGAATAACACGAGACACATGAATAATGAATATATAAAGAGAAGTATATGTAGATAAGAACACAGAAGAAACTATGGACACGAAATGAAAACATTATTAAAAATCAAACATGATTGAAGGTCAGACATTATTTTTACCATCTGCATGTTGGAAGAGTTTATGTATATATAATATTCTGAATTCATGATCAGAGTGAGCTCAGAGTCTCCTCATCGTCAAATTCATTTCTTTATTTTTTAACTTGTTTTAAATCTCGGAGCTGGACTCGGAGCTGCAGTTCCCCCAAGGAGCCAGCAGGTGGCGGCAGCTCTCCACGCAGCTCCCGCTCTTGTCGCCACTCGTTGACTGTCGGTGACATCAGACCGGAAGTCCTCGGCGGCTCCTGTCTCTGCTCCGGAGTTTGGTTTTTTCCTCTTTTCTCTTGTTCTCGAGTTTAAAACACTAAAGTTCTTTCACTTCGAACAGACGGTAAAAGACGGAAATGGAGGAATTTCACAACGGAAACGAGGTTTGTCCTTTTTTTTTTTTTTTACACGATTGTTATTGAAATGTGTCAGTTAGCTGCATTAGCCAAAGAATGCTAACTCGATAAAATCATTGTGATGCTAACGACAGACCTCTTCTTCTGCAGTCAGTTACCCGGATGTTGACATGAAGACATGTCCCTCGTCTTCATGTCTCATTAGAAGTCCGTCCTCTGTGGACACATGTCCTCTTGTTGTGCTGTGACTCCAGCTTCTCCTCAGTGACAGATGAATTCACTTTGTTTTCAGGGCTCCTTCAACTCTGACGAGGCCGAGAACGTCGTCAAGGAGGTGACGTCACTTTTATATGTTCACCTGAACATTATTATTATTATTAACGTCCCATTTCAGAATAAAGTGCTTCCCCCTGTTTCCCATCGAGGTTTTTAGGAACAGCAACAGAAATGCAGATGATAGAGTTCAGAGGTCAAGGAGAAGCTGTTTGCACATATCTGCTTGTGACACTTTGATTTATCTTTATTCATTCATCATTATTAAAGTAGAACAGTCGAGTAACTCAACAAAGTGAACAACCTGAACTCATGATCAGACACAGGCTGACAGCGGCGCTGTTTGTTTTGGTCACATCTTTTAGAACAGTGATCGCTCTTTATTCCAGTGTCCTCGGGCTCTGGTCCGGTGTCTCCCACATGACTGTGTGTGTGTGTGTTTGTCTCAGTGCATCGAGAGCGTCGTGGGCGCTGACGACTACAGTCAGAATCAGGTGAACAAGTGGACGGCCGGCATCGTGGAGCGCTGCCTCACGCAGCTGGTCAAACAGGGGAAATCCTACAAGTACATCGGTACGAGTGTGTGACTTCCTGTTCTGTCCTGTGAGGGTTTAAATGTTTTCCTGTCATCTGTCAGATTCAATAATAATTTAATAAGAAGTGAGATAATAAAATGATTCACGGTTTGCTGTGTGTGTGTTTCTGAATAGTGACGTGTGCTGTGATGCAGAAAACAGGAGCAGGACTCCACACGGCAAACTCCTGCTACTGGGACACGGCCATGGACGGTAAGGACGACTTCCTCTGCTGCTTCACACCGAGAGCAGGAAGTGACTGCACATGAACAAAGTTCTTAGTTTGGTAAAAATCTGTAGTGATAATAAAACTTGACTTAACTGAGTTTTTTAGTTTGGTGAAGAAAAAGATGGTTTGTGTTAAAGTACGTTACAAACAATAACATTTCTTCGTCCTAAAGATCGTTATTTTAAAAGATGTATGTCAACAGATATATCGGCATCTGACATTGTTTGGTCCCTAATCTCACAATCGGCATCGACCCCAAAAAACCTATTTGTTCAGTGTGTGTCTGCTGAGCTTGTCTGATGTTCGACTCTCGTTTCTAAAAGTCCACAGGATGGTTTGCATGTTGTTCTCTTTCAAAATAAATGTTGGTGGAAAACGGTTCTTTTTGTTCCTGAATGAGTTTGTTTTCTTCTGATCCCTTTGTCTCTGCAGGAAGTTGCACAGTGAGATGGGAGAACCGCACCATGTACTGTGTGGTCAGTGTGTTCGCTGTGGCTGTCGCATAAAACACACACACACTCATAAATACACACAAATGAACCAAAAAGAAATCCACCAGAAGAGGAATGCAGTGTGTCCCTATGAACAGCAGGGGGGGCCAGCGAGTGCCTCAACCTGCCAGCTGTTTGTGCCACAGAGAAGAAAACATCTGGATTTTCTTCAGATGCAAGTAACACGTTCATCTCAGCGTATTTATGTCCTCACGTCACTGCAGCGCTTCAACAGCTTCACCTTATTTATCACAGACGCCTGAAAACCTGCAGCCGCTCGACGCCGCTCGCTCACATCGACCCTCGTTCGCTTGTTATTTACGTCATGTCACATTTACTGCAGGAAAATAAACATGAGATTTCTGAGCAACAAGAACATCGGTTGTTTCTTTTTAAAACAAATACAGGAAACAAATGGTCCCTAATTACTGGTTTCATTCATATTTAATTTAGATTATTTATCTAGACAGGGAGAACAACTTCTGTGCTTCATAAATATTCTGAATACATTTCATGAGCAAACAACAAAACCAAAGAGCTGCTGGTTCGTCACTTTAAAACACAAACGACTGGTTCCATCTGTTCGTGATCTGAAAACACAAATCGTGACCACGTTCAGCTCAAAGCGAGGAACGTTTTGAAATGTCACTTATTGTTGAAACCTTAAAAGGAGAAGAAAGAAATGCAGCAGAGTTATTTCAGCATCTTTGAGCTCAGCTGCGACTTGGGACGTTTCCACTCTCCAGTTTTCTTTTCTAGAAGTTTTCTTTGTTGAAGATGAACTTGACGTCGTCCGCCGAGTGCGACAGACACTGTTTCTCCAGAGATTTCCCGAGCTGAGGCGGACCACACAGGAAGACTCCTACTTGAGTTCTGAGGACACAAAATTCATTCATCATCGCTGATGATTCATTCTTCTGTTGAACTGAGCTGCAGAATGAAAACAGCTTGTCAAAGTAGAAATGTTCCATTGAAGGAATCTTCTGTAACATTAACTTTATTTAAATCCTACACCGCTCTCATCTCAAAACACAGTACCACTTTAAATATTCTAGATGAAGGATGATACACTGAACCCAAACATCCCTGGATGAGAGTCTGAAGAACGCTTGATGATTTCTGAGGTTTTTGAATGTGTCAGGAATCATCACATCTTCCTAAAGTTTAACATTTATCACATCTACAAATCTGTTTGTGAGACGAACCCACAATTCTTTGACTTTGGTCAGTTAATGAGACTCAACCATCAATTCTTCTGTGGTGAGGTGGTCCCAGAGAAACCAGCAGCTCTTCACTCATCATCAGTATTTACTTTACAAATCAAATTCATTATTCTGAGGGAAATCTCATTTTACATTCACTGAGTCTGGCATTTACAGGGTTAACGGGCGTGCATGAGATCATACACGCCACAGAGGGTGTGTGTGTGTGTGCAGAGCCTCACCCCGGGTGTTTTGATGCAATATTGGTGAACTCATTGTCCCAGTTGGGTTTCCCGTACAGAGTCTTCTGTTTGAGGCCTGTGATTGGGTCGTTCTCCGCCTCGTGGTGAACACGGAAATTAGCCGCCTGAAGAAAAAAGCAAATTAGTTTGAGCACGTGAGCAGAGACAGTGTGTGGATGTCTCACACCTTTAGGTTTGTGTGGGGACATTTAGGATTTTGGGGTTTGGTTTCTGCGTCTGACTCGTCAATGATCTGAATTTCAAGCTTTAAAAAGTCATAAATATGTTCCAATGTTAAATACTGAAGCTCCGGGGTCGTTCTCTGCTCAGCTTCTCCACCTTATCTTCAGTTATGACTTTAAACTGTTTGGTTTCTGTGACCCGAGGATTTCAAAGTGTATGTGCTTGATGGATGGACGTGGGCTGGACGTGGTCACTGCACCTCGGTCTCCTTCCAGCGGGTGAGGTAGATGTGGTTGCTCAGGAAGTCGGTCATGCCCTTCTCCGTCATCTGACCCTCCAGGGACTGCAGCAGGTCTGCGAACCACTCGAAGGCCTGCGTCTCCGGACACAGCCAGTAGAAGTAGATCTGAGGAGGAACACATCGAGGGATTACCACAGCGTTCTATAAACACTTCGTCCACCGTGCTGGTTCCTCTCACCTTCTTGGTGAAGACGTCCTGGTTGTTCTGGATGCGTTTGTACCACACAGACTTGAGGATGGAGGCGAACGGAGTCACGCCAATCCCTGCGCCCACCAGCATGACCACCTCGTAACGGAACACGTCTTCGCTGGCCGTCCCAAAAGGCCCGTCGATGGCAATCCTGACAGACAGAGACGGAGAAGTGACAAATCTGATCTCTGTCCGCTTTGCTGTAAATGTCCATTGTGGGGTTTGTGCTGTGATGTTTGTGTTATTTGAACTGAAACCCTGAGTTTAAAGGGGAAATCACTTAAAATACATTGAACTCGATGTTATTTATTTATTAGAATCTGGTCGATACGGTTTGGAAGCGTGTCGATCGGAGGAAGCAGCTCTGGACGAAAGCCTCCGTCTTCCGTCCTCTGAGAGAAAAGAGCTGCAGGACCTCACGCTAAAAGGAAGATGATCCTATTGTAAATGTTGTGTTTTCTTTGCCTCGCTCCGGAAAGGGAGACGAATCACACACACACACACACACACACACACACACAAAGGCTGTAAATGTGACCCCCCGCTGGCAGCTTGTCAAAGGAACGCTGCCTGGAGGGGGCGGAGGGGCGGAGGGGGCACTTAAACGTAATCACCAGCGATTCCAGACACAATTTGCCTCTTTTATCAAATGCTCCCCCCCCCCGTGTCGTACTTGGGCAGTTTCCAGGCCTCCTGGGTCTCGTTTTTGTCTCCTCCGCAGGCCTCGTACAGCGCCTGGGTCCAGTCCCCCACGATGCGGATGTGGGCGCTGAAGTAGTCCTCCTCGGGGGCGGAGGTCAGGGTGAAGGGGTGCCACTCCAGCAGGGAGATGGACGGACACTGGATGAAGACGTACTGACCCACCTCCATGCTGAAGCCCTTCTTCTTCATCTGCAGCTCCAGGGTGTTGGAGGGGTGCATCACCACCTGGACACCAGGTACACACACTTTCACCAAACTGACAGAGCGTCCAGCTCCCGACACGAAGCAGCAAATACTCACAAACAGGAATCTCAGATAAAATCGCTCAGGAGATCATTCGAATATTGAAAATGTAGAAATAGTAAACGTGCACTCTGGTCTCAAACAATCTGTTTAATCTGAATCACGTGTTACTTTACTTTAATCTTAATCTCGGAGCCGAGTTTCGAACACGCACCTTGGTGATGACGGTTTTCTGTTGGGATCGAATGAGGCGAACGAGCCTCTCACACACGTAGAGGATCATGGGGCCCACCACCCACTTCCACGTCTAGAGAGAGGAATCAAACGTGTGAGTGGAACTCATAAGCCACATGTGAACGCCCTGCGATCTTCAACGTCTCACCATCGGTGGGTTTCCGGCAAACTCTGGTACAGCACAGCCCGACGCATTTCTTCCCCAGTCCTCAAACTGGTCAGCGCAAGTCTCCGGGATGTTTGTCTTCTGGCTCTCAGTCGTCTGTCCTCGCACAATCCGCCTGAAATCAGAAAAATGTGAGGGACAGTTACTAATGAAATGAAGACAGCTCGTCATGTCCAGGTGGAGACGAGTCGAGGTCTTGTTCGAGCCCAAAGGAGTCTGTTCCAAGTCAAGCTTGAACCCACGTCTACAAGAGGTCAAGTCCGAAGGTCAGGAACAAATGTCCAAGGATCAGCCACGGGAACTGAAGTGGATCAAACGTTAACAGACTCGACCGGTGGCCAAGCCGAGGACAAGTCTGCCTCATTCATTGTCAGTAAGAAACAAACAGTATTTATTTTTACCCAAAGCCGTGGAACACCAGGCCGATGAAGAAGATGACGAAGAGGTGGTGGGTGTACCAGAACACCTCGAAGTACGACCTCCGGATCACCTCCATGGACGAAGTGATGATGAGGATGAGGGCGAGCGTGATGACCACGCCCGTCAGCCCGGCGATGGTGGTGAACATGACGATGGTCGGGTTCTGCATCAGATCAAACATTCAACTTTGTTTGAGGGAGACGGCAAAGTTTTCATATTTGACCTTTTGATGAACACGGATCAGATCGTTTTTGTAGAAATGCGTCCGGGAGCCAGAAACAAAGAGGAAGTTTCTGTCATCGCAACATTTCTGCAAAGGCCAAGACCCCAAAGAGGAAGGTGACGAAGGTGACGAAGGTCACATGAAGTAACGTTTTTTAAGACATCAAATTTAGCAACTGAGCCGAGGGGAATTTCACAGAATTTAGAAACATCCCCCAACGTGTACGACCCAGAACAACCTTTAGACACACGTTAGAAATGTGAACTCACCGTCTCATTGGACCTGATGGGGTTCAGGAAAGACGCGTTGTCCCCGGTGCCGATTTCAGAGAGGACGAAGGGCAGGAGGCTGCTGTTTCGATTCAGCTGGGCGTCCATGAAATACTCGAAGTTAAACAAGTGTGCGATGATGTGCACGGCTAGAAGACAAGGAAAAGGTTCTGTGCGTCAGGACAACGAGTTCAGGAGACGTAATGTGACTTCGTCTGTGAGATTCAATCATCTGACATCATCATCGATGGACAGAATCGTTTGTGATTTGAGTTCTCGCTCGTGGAACGTTACCGGTGTGGAAGGCGATCATGTACGCCACCAGTTTGTGGAAGGTGATGTTTCGGTCCAGCTGTCGAGCGGCCGTGCGGCTGCAGCACTGAGAGACAAGTACACACACACACGTGCAAACAATGAGCAGGGAGACCTCCCGCTGGAGGTAGTATCTGGGAGTAGAGTGTAGTTTTTGTACCTGGATGGTGCCGCGGAGGAGGGAGAGCAGGTTTCTGCAGACCGGCAGCAGGATGAGCATGCAGTTGAAGTTGAGGCAGGCGGCAGGAGCTCTGGCCCAGGACAGGGCTTGCTGGGAAACAGAGTACAGAGTACTTAAAGATGTAATCAGATTACTTGTTCACCACTGACTCTACTCATCGATGCTCCCACGATGTTTGATTAAACTTATACATTTCAGCTTTAATTGTAATTTTTACAATTGAAGTGTGATAACACAAATCTGTATCACACTTTTAATCACCGCATAAATTAAAACACGAAATATTAACGTCTTAAAAGGTCGTCTGAGTTTTTTATGCTTCAGTTAATTAATTGGAATTTAATTTGGCAGGAATAATAAAACATGAATAATCCATCGTGAGCCTACAACTGGAAAATTATATTTCAATTGGATGAAATCCTGGCAGTATAAAGTATAAATACACACTTTTATTATCAGTTATTTATTCTTAGCAGGGTCCTGAATACACACCTTTATTTGTTCATGTCCCACGAACTGTGAATAACTGATTCTAGTTTTATCTTTAACCTCAAACTCGTTTTCTGACGCTGTGATTTCCTGATTCTGAAGATATTTGGTTTTGTTGATCAGAGAACGTACGAGCGTCGGTTTCACTTCTGCTGAGCTGAAGCTGAGCAGCTGTGCGGCCGCTGGTCGGATCTGTACTGTATCATGAACTGAGCCGTGACCACGGCAGAGAACAAAGCCTGACGTACCAGGAAGTTTGAGCTGCTGCAGATAAAGTGTGATAATCTCAGGCGTGGACGTGCCTGGATTTCTTTAGTGTTAAGGAGGATTTAAACTCTTACGGGAAGATCATAAACCACCTGATAAAACGTTCCTTCTCTGAAATGTGAGGAGAAGAAGCGTCCTGCCTCAGTAATGATGGAGACCTGAAGCAGCTGCAGCGACATGAGGAACTGAGAACTGATTCTTTTGAATGGAGCATTTCTCGTTTTCCAGTTTAATGAGCTGCTTCATTTGATTATATCTTAAAGTAAAGGTCATCCTGTGGCTCTGTCACACTCACCCCGAGCAGAACCCTGGTGTAAAACCATTTATCGGTCAGGAACGCCATGTAGAAGTGCACGAACAGGAAGGCGTTGATCCCGAGCCAAACCAGCTGCAACGTCAGGAGCAGAGATTAAATCCAGAGTCAACATTCATTCACTCACAACTCCTGAAACAACCGAGTCTGGTGGTGATAAAGTGCAGTGAGCTCACAGATATCAAACCTCAGGGCACTAAACTCAACACAGTCCATCTCAGAGCATGAAGAGTGTTTTTGCATTTTAACATTTTAAAGTTGCACACTGTGGATTTATATTTCTCCACATATTCTAGGTCACGAAAGTTTCACCCAAATTCAAAGTTGATCAGATTCATCAGTTTTTTAATTTCTATTCTTCCGTCTCTCTGGGATTTTCAAGAACCTTTAATTCACAAACATTTCTTCTGGTGTTAAAAAATAAGTGGGTTACTCACAAATGCTAAAAAGAAAGAACTGAATTTATCACAAACAGGATTTTTTGACCTCTGGACTCAAAAACTGTCCAGCTGATATGTTTCACATGTAAACAATCTGCTCCGAGTGAATATTTACTGTTTGAATCTTAGAAACAAAATGAAACTGGATTTCTTTATAAAAACACCAGATCTCAACTGGACTCAAACATCTTTATGCTTTTTTTGACAACAAATATAGAATTTGATCATCTTGAGTTGTAAACACACATTTCCATGTTCTGCACTTTGTCAAGTTATCGATGCAGATGATTAAAGAAAACTTAAAAAAAACAGAAAATGAGTCAGATCTACTCACAATAACGAAGATGGAGAGTCCCTCGTTGGCAACAAAGTTCCCCATGATGCCTGTGAAGCAGTGTGTGTGTGTGTGTGTGTGTGTGTGTGTGTGCAGGTGTGTGTGTGTGCAGGAGTGTGTGAACGTGTGAGGACGCAGCAGGAAACAGTTCAGGAGACAGCGAGGAGCTCAATGAGCTGATGACTCACTTTATTCGCTTTAGTTCAGAACAAATGAGGAAGTGACTCTCGAGCTTTTTACGACAT